CGCTGTTATTCTGTCAGCGCCCGCTTAGAGAGACACAATATACTTCTAACTAGAAATATAAAAATAATACGAACACAATGAACAAGTCACAACATAAAAAAGATAATATTAATATTTAAGCATTTTAACATAATAACAAAGGTCATTAAAGACATTCAATCACGCTCAAGTAATTTATAAGATGAATGGCTGTATGGACCTGTGATCCTTTGCTTTCAAAAACCAAGATAAAAAAGGTCACAAAAGTTAAGTTTTGTTTAAGTTAAGTTGCATACAATACATAATACATATACCATAGAGAGACATATACAATAGAATACAACAAGCAGGCCCAAATCCTGAGGAAGCCATCAATGAAGTAATCTAATCTCTTACAAGCAAGCCACATATTCACTATAAATCGTGTATAAGTCTGTGCAACAAGCTTCAGCAACAAGCAATGCAAAATAATTTCAATTTTGGTCATATTCAGACAGAAAATACATTTAGAAATATTCTTAATATTCAGAAAATACATAATCACTAGCGTAACAGCCACCCAAACAAAGAACAGTAACCCTAGCACGAACCAATATCGCATTCGTATCGTTTGCAAGTCCGAAATGTCATTGTCAAAATGTGTACTGATTTTTAGTTCTCGTTACGTACTTTGTGCCGCTGCTGTCCAAGTTTCCATACAAAATTTTACATTGACAGTCGGTTTGCAAACTATTCGAATATGGACCAACATCACTAAAGGGTTAAAAGTCACCACATTATAGCAATAATGGTTTAGTTGTTGATAGAACATAACATTTTCTGATAGAATAAACATTTTTATCGATGTAGTGACTGCATTAAACTCCTATATACAGCAGGCTTGGTGTTTGATCGCTACGCTGCTGAGCTGAGCTTTGCTTACTAATGAAGTACGCACCACACCTGCATCCTCCTACAACAATGGTGGTTGATAACGGATGTATGTATTTATGTTATTGTAAGTATGTGGGTTCAGTTAGGTACCAAAATCGTCTGTAGTGTTTTCACCTCACGATACGTTTAACCGAAAATTATTTTTTAATCTTTAACTTTGGAGTTATTTGAGCCATTGGCGCTGAAGCTTTGCTCCTTGCTATCATTATGATCACAACGTCATTAAGCATAAGGATAATTCTTTGAAAAGCGTTCTCCGCGCTTTCGTTCCAAAATTTCATATCGAGTTTTTAGAGTAATTAAAATTATTATTTTAAAGAAGACGCAATAATAACATATAATATCTATGAAACATCTGAATTGATAGATAATTCAGTGAGATATTTAATTTTGAATTTTGTGTGTCCATGAAAGTTACGAAAAGAATTTCAAGCTGAAATCAAATCGCCAAGAAGGTTGTGTCACGAAAATTACGATATTTAACATATTTCGATATATTTGTCGTATTAATAGACTTATCCAAACATAATATATTAGATTTTTTATGAAGAATAATTACCGATAATTTATTTATAAATAACACAGCGATGAACAGTAAGTTCATCCTCCAGAGATGAAGGGTACAACTGAGTATCCGCGCGGCTAAAACATGTGGCTACATGTTGGCACTATTCAAAGTTGTGTGCCGTTTAAGACATGCGCTCATAAAATTAATAAAACGTGTGACAATGACAAAATGCACTGTAACTTTATCAATTTACCCCAAATTTAGCATTGTTAAACATTAGTTAAATACCATTTTTTTTATATGGAGGTAGGCAAATGACTCTGCCCCACCTGATGGTAATAAAGTCCAAACGCGAAGATAGCTGATACAGCAGTTATAAACTGCTACACCAATCATTCTCACCTTGCCGGCTTGGAAAAATGCTTCTTCACACCTCTTATACAATACACATGTAAAACTTTGCAAATCAAGAATTTATTAAAGGGTTTTCCAAGCGCGTATGGAGTGTAACACCCGAAGAACAGCGTTTCTACTCCCGATTCTGGCATTAAAAAATATTTTTAAAATTTAATATAAATAGCACTTATTTTTTATCATAATTGATTCTAAGGCTACATTTACAATAGGTGGAGGAGGAATAATAAGCGTGTGGCTGCTAAAAACGTATCATCACATATTTTAACTAGTGGAACCGAAGGTATTTGTCTTGCCCGATTAAAAAAATCATTGGTCAACTTAACTCAGGCCACGTTGTTTGAAACATAGTTAAATTTGACTATAAATAAAAATAACCATATTTTATCAATTTTTATACATCTATTTGACGTTCTCCGTGGCCGTGTGGTTTGTACGCCGGATTTCATGGTGTCGCCTACTCGAGAGTGATGAATACGAATATTTGTACTCCAGTCATGGATGTCAAATAATTATGTATTTCAATATAAATATACCTATATATGTATCTGTATATATATATATATATATATATCCGTTACCTTGGTATCCTATAACCCAAGCTTACAGTGCTTACTATGGGGCTAGGCTAACTAGTGTGTGTTTTTATAAAAAAAAAACTATGCATTTGACGAGACGATGACTGAATCAAAGATAAACTATCTTTATCAATTTAACAATGTTAAAAACTTCTTACAACAATATTTTTTCAACAAGACCTCAAAAGTCCTATAAATCTTCAAAAAGTATTGGATTTATGGATAATTATATCCGTGTTACTGGAGTCGCAGACGTTATCAATTCGCTTCTAGCCATCATATACTCTTTAACCTTTAGCATCATAAGATGGAGTGTCTCAGTCGACTCAATTACGCCAGCAAAAATAAGGAAAAGACCCGTTATGAGCTTCCTGTTCCTGTGTTCTTGACACTAAGTCGTGTTCCGTATCTGGAATACAGATCAGCTACGTAATAATGTTTCGTTGCTTGGGCAAATATAACTCCACCGTTTTAGGACTAACTTTTCTGACTTTCTACAAAGGAAAATAATATAAAAAAAATATAAATGTTGACCTAAGAATGCAATTGTTAACCTTAGATAAGGTTAGATTAGGCATTTTTTAAGGATCAATTGCTATTTTTTAATGGGCATATAAATAATTATATGCCATTACAAAAACGAGGTTTTTATAATTGGAAGTAACCAAAGTCAGTTTTTAATGTAACAAATCTCAAGTGAGATAGGATAAATTAATTCAAATGATGATCTTGCTTAGAAAACCATATATCAGTTTTTATTCGTAATGTACGGTCATCAATAGATTTAAATTTAACATGAATGTTCGAGATACCATTTAGAAATCAAACTATTTGTTTTGTTTCTTTATTATTTTCTATGTTTGGTTTTAAAATTACTTTTTGAAACATATTATAAACATATGTAATTAGCCTCTTTAAAAATTCTTATTTGTTAATTATTTCTAGTACAATTTTCCTTAGCTATAAATAACTCAGTAATAACGTTTGTTTGGTGTTTATAACATTGCAATAAGGGGTTTTACGTATATATTTGGTTCTATCTAAACAATGTTTTCATTTTTTTTAAATTTAAGGAAATGTTGATCAAAAATTTTAATGTAAACTTGATTAGTTCTGAACGACTTGAATGTGGTTAACTGTTATGATGCCAAATTAAATTGACACACAACTGTAATAGCAATGATAACAACATTTAATATTGTAAATACAGTTCTGTGCCCTATTTCACCAAACTAACACAATGTCGGCTTGGTATCTACTTTTTCTGGTGGTAATTAAATATACCAATATTTAATTTTTCTTCGAACGCAAAATCAGTGATATCATAGGAGAAATTTATCCGTTCTTTGTAAATACTCCTGCATAAGAACTCATCCTTTTACGTTTTAGGGGAAAGTCATTTTGTAACTATCAACGAAAACATCACAATTGCTACGCAAATCTTACACCGTTCCGATTTCATGTCAAGAATAACGTACAATTTGTCAATTTATGTCGATTCAAAAAATTAACCTTGTTTTAAAACACAATTCTCGTTGAAGTAAGATCGGACAATTGACAATTGTAACAAAATGCTTGTCACTTTATACTGATATATGCTTAGATTAAAACAAAAAGGGAAGATACGATACGCTCATACTTGCATCAAACAAAAACTGATCCCACGGCAGCGCGAACGGGACGGCGACATCCGCGTCACTGCATTACCGACCCGAACGAAACAGCACGTTAAGTTTCAACGGCGGCGCGAACGAGACGGCGAGATCCGCGTCACTGCACTACCGACCAATCACGCGATCAGTACTCGACGTCACTACCGAATAAGTTTCAAAACAAACAGCAATTTTTATGAAAAAATATATTTCATATAGTACTTACGAATGAAAAGTGATGCCGTGGGTTTTATTTTTAGTTCTTGAGCAATTTAAGCACTTTTCAAAAACACACTTAGGCATTGTTTTATCATATAAACACAAAATATTAGCAATATTTCTTTTTGGCGTTCACATGTACGTCGTTTTTTGCATGTCAAGTTGTGAGTAAAGCGATTAGGGTCGTGGACCACAATTCATGCGGATCACTTTTGTGATGCTAGTGCCGTATCTACCCTTTTTGTTTTAATTTATGGATATATGTCGAGTTGGTGTAATAGAGCCCTAATCTTTATAATGTAACTATCTTTATAATGTAAAAAAAATTAACATAAATTTTGATTCTTGTATCAACGTCGTCCGATAATAATCGGCAAGGTTGCGAATGTCATATGCGAAGCATTTTTTTAATTTTTTTTAAACAGCGCAACGGACGGTGTTAGGGCGCTTTTGCGCGCGTAAGTACAAAGGGCGATGACCCAGATTTAGGGATGGTCTTGAATTGTTATACGCATGCGTTTGAGCCAGAAAGGGTGGTGTGATTGCCGCAAATAGAATAACCTCTAAATAGTTCTAATTCAATCTGCAACATTTATAAATCTAAGGACATACCTGGATTATTATGTTAGTTGCAGCTCTATTTTTATTGAATTGCAATTCGTAGGTTTAGCAGTACTCTTTTGTGAAATCAGTGTTTACCATTGTTTTGCGGCTTACCTGTAGTTGATGTCAGGAGCTTCGAACACATAAATTGATCCAAATATGCCGGCTAAATACACAGGAAACAGTAGGAATGCATAGTTCACTATATTATATCTCCCAAATGCACCTAATTCTGCCAAAATGGAATCCAATTCGACGGTAGATTTTTGGCTGGCCATGTTATAATAATTATTTCGAACACTAATTTACTATTTTATAAAAATTAAATAGGTCTTATTGAAATAGTAAATTCGTAGATTTATACCAAACACATTTTGCAAGCACTCGGCACTAAAGGCGCGTTTATTACTTTGACATTTGCCGCGCATGCGTTTTAAAAAAGTTTTCGGTCACAGACACAACACACACTTTTCTATTTAGCTTTTTTATATTTTCCCAGATCCAGTTTGTCGATTCTTTTTGGTGTATTTTTTATTTTACTAGCGACGTCCGATCTCTCGCTCGCGGGCACAAAAATAAACAAGAGTTAACGCTACCAAATGCGAAACGTCGTTTATCACAGTAACAGCTCTCGAAAGAGACGGTATGATGTGGTGACACTTTTAAAAACACAAATGAAAGAGTGAGATACTCGTACGTGGATAGTGTTATTTGACTTGAATTTATGTAGTTTAAATCGATCAGTTTATTTAGAACACGTAAGTTAGATTGAACGATCATCAATGGTCAGGCGTTTAATTCTTGGCTTGGTTACATATTAAGTTGAAGTAATTATCTGTTTTGGTTGATTAGTCTATGGACTTATGGACTAGAGTTAAAAAGTTGTTAGCATGGACTTATTGATAAATATAATATGTCCATGGTTGTCAGCGAATAACGCCAAATGTTTTGTTTTCTTAATGTTAGCACCATGATTTATATTCATTAAACTGATAGGAACTGTATGTTTATTATATTAATAGCGATTAAAACTGGGTGACACCAGATTACAACTCATTTTATTATCATAATAATTATACTAACGATGTTTATATTAAGATGTTTAAAATGTATTTTAAACATCTTAATATAAACAAAGATTTGTTATTTATAGATATAAATATAGATGAAAAAGTAACAAAGTTAAAATTACCTTTCTACTTTATTAGAAGTTGATAACTGTATCCCCCGCGAGGGTACTTATGTAAATTTAGTACAAAGATAAGCCAGTTTAAGCTATGTAGGGCCAATAGATATATTTTTTCCTCCATACAAATCTTCACATGATTATATCGTTCATACAACGTTGTATACACGCTTGGATGGGTCACAGCCTAGCAACATTGTGTCATTAGACAGTGTTGTTTGGGTTTGGAAGGGCAACACAGCATCACCGGTGTTTTAATTTCATTTCATTCTTGCGTCAAGAAATTTCACTTCAAAAAGCAATGTACATTCTATGATGGGCATAATTAGTTACATAATCAAATGGGTAAAATTGTACTTCCAGGGCCCAAGAGGTGGTACTTTATTTTTTTTTGGTAGAAAAGGTGTTTTATAATTATAGAAATAAAAGTTTGTACGTGCGTGATGCAATTAATTGACAAGTAAAATCAGCTGACTTGACACATATTTAAATTTTAGATTAAAAACAAACATTTAAGTATCTATATAAACCAAAAATAGGTTTTATAACAAAAGGTCTCTTAATTTTTTTTTCAGGCGCTTCGCCGGCCTCTGCCGTAGCACGCTCGCTTCGCTCGCTCGGCTCGTTATGGTCACAACACTAACCTACTGTGAAGTATCACCACTTGGACCCTGGAAGTACAGTTTAGCCATCAAATGTTTTATACACAAATATACGAAAAGTAATAACACTTTTATGGTAACGAATATGGATAGAATACATATACAGATACATATAAGTATATTTTATATAGAAAATATTGATTAATTATTAATAAATCTTTTACTTTCATTTTGAACTTTAAAGTTATCTTTCAAATGGCTGGAAAGGATGCCACTGGAGCGAAACTATGAACAGAGATGTAGGTATGTATGTTACTTACTAAAAAAACAGTTAAGTGCGCGTCGGACTCGCCCACCAAGTGTTTCATACAAATTTGTAGGTACGCAATATAATCGGCCGTACCTTTTTTAACGGTTATTCAAAAGTTTGAATTTTGTACTTAAAAGCCCTTTCTCAATTCTTTTGCAAAAAATCGTAATTTTTGAGTGCCTTGTTTACCCGTTTAGAAAAGATTTTGACTATTTCCAATAGAAGTTAACAGTAGATTTATTTTCTTTTGTTTGTACTGATCGTTCTACTGCAGCTTGGTTACGGAAAAAACGATAATATGCAAAACTTGAGGTTTTCTGGTGTTTCTCTCAATAATGTTCAATAAATTGGACCAAATTAATTACTACGACATCAGAAATATGTTTTTGTTGTAACATAATGTATTAAAATTTTTGATTTTCTATCTCATTAATTATCAAAAAAACATCTAACCTCCGTGAGTTTTCCCAAAAAATAATGCAGGTTTACCTCGTATTTTGATATTAAATTAAATAGAATTACTATCAAAAACTTTCATAAAACTAATCTACCATAATTGAACTACTGAAATATGTATATATTTTTGTAACTAGTTCATTAATAATTATTTTATAAGACTCGAAACATCACCCGTAAAATGCAATATACTCGTATACTAGTGCAAATCTACCTACGCGCCGATCAGTACGGCAGCGGCGCAATTTTGTACCCTTTACCCTTTAAATTGCGCCGCTGCCGTACTGATCCGCATTAAGAGCCCTTGCTCTTAATGCGGAAAGATTACTGACTTAGAATTTTCTGCGATGATTCTGTTTTTTAATTATTGTGGATATTCAATTTATGTCTAAAGTTAATACTGGATTACAAAATTATGAGTATTGAATGTCTGTTAAATAAGTGAATGTCAAATACGTATATATGCATACTTTAAAAGTTCTGCAATAAAAGGTAGGTCCTTGTGAAATTACTTGTGTAATATTAATATTATTCATATTAGAAATTATAGCAATTTTAAGTACACACTTTAGTTATTTATCCTTCTAATTTTTAAATGTGAAAGTTTGTATGTTTGTCACTAGATTTCGCAAAAACGTCTGATCGGATTTTATCGCAATTTGGCATTATACCAATAGAAAAGTAGTCGCTTTGGTACCATAATTAATTGACAGAAAGGATACTTCGATTCCCGGAAAGGAACAAGGAACCACTACATTTAATCGCCCTCTAGCTACAATAGCCCCGGGTATCCTTATGCATATAGCATTTGATCTAGAGTGAAACAAAGGATACTGTTTATCCCGGAAGAATGCTAGGTTCCTGTGAAATTCTCAATAATCTACAACAGCGCGGACGACGGTGCGGGCGATAGCACATTATATAATACTAGCTGTGCCTCGCGGTATTACCCGCGGTTTATTAAGGATATTTTCCCGCAGTAAAACGTAGCCTATTTGTTCGCGAGAACACCTTCGATAGCCCACGAGAACAAGTTGGTTTGGTCGCTGATCCTATCGCTTCTATTGGTAAAATTCAGGCACAGGATTCCCCACTATGAATTAAACCACTCACCTTGACATTGTCAGTTTGAGCTCGTGCTGGAAGCGTTATGTGTCCACGTGGTCACCCACTCAGAGTCCTTATTGTGCCCCAATTTCACTAACACAGCTAGGCCACTAATACAAATGCTTGATATACGAGACAATTTAAGCAGTTCACTTATAACTATTAATGTCAATCCACCGAAAACAGAGTTTTAAACTTTCATGGTCACTAACATTATAACTATTAACGGGATTTTTACACGGGTTTGTTCGTATGTTGGCCAAACGAAACGGACAATAGCGTGCCGAATGAAAGAACACATAAAAGCAGTCAGAAAATATAATGATACGCAAAAATCAGCCATCGCGGAACATTTCATTGATTCGGGTCCTAATCACTGGATTGAGCTCCATAATCCACAAATTATCTCGACAGAACGCCACTACATACCAAGATTGGTCAGGGAAGCTATAGAAATAACCAAACACAAGAATTTCATACGTGAGGATGGGTTTAAATTGTGAAGTGTCTGGAATCCAGTGTTTCGTACGTGTAAAATCCGCAAAAATCAAAAAAGTGTCGTTCCGCGATCTGATACTGTGAGTATTGTGTGTCGGGAACAGGTTCGAGTGAATAGTGAGAATGTGACCAGTGGCAGGGGCGCAGTAAAAGACGACGTCAGAGGGTAGAACGATATGTCTGCCAATAACATCTACCCGCAATTACTTCAGTTACTCCGTGATCATGGCGCTTGCAACCGTGCCGAAATATCGGAGACTTATAAAAACAAGGTACATGGTAACAATCTCGTTATTAGTTATAATCCCGAAGTATAGTCAAGCACCTCATGTGTGTGCTTGCGCCGCCGTGAGAGATAATGCGACGGTGATAGCAGCGGCAGCGCCTGTTACCGTTGAGTCGTGGATTTGCAGTTTACCCACATAATAAGAAATACTATGCCTGATCACTATGTGTCAGCTAACGCCATAAGATTTTATTTAAAAATCGCTCCAGCCGTTTAGACGTGAAGAAGTAACAAACATATACACTCACTCACCTTTGTAATATTAGTGTGATTTAGTGACTATGTATTATCGTTACTATTCAAATGGGCTGTATCATCACTTTACTCATGACAACTTATTAAGATGTCGATGACTGCTCACCACTCAGGGTGTATTAATATTTGTTCAACGGCTGTCCACAATCAAGTGGCATATATCAATAAACATGCGTCGCAGCATGCGGGTGACAAGACACGCGTTACTGATTGGGCACTTATCTACAAATGCCCTCAAGCTAATAGGGTTATTTTGCCATTGGTAGACGACCTCCGTGGTCGAGTGGTTTGTACGCCGGGTTTCATGGTGTCGCCGACTCGAGAGCGCTCGGGGCAGATGTTTGTGTGATGAATACGAGCATTTGTACTCCAGTCATGGATGTTTAATATGTATTTATATAAAAATATACTTATACATATATGTACGGTATATGTATTCTATCCGTTACCCTGGCATCCCATAACACAAGCCTTATAGTGCTTACTTTGGGGCTAGGCTAATTGGTGTGAGTATTGGAAATATTTATTTATTTATTATTGGTAAAGTATTTGTAGTACTGCTTTTATTCTTGACTTTACTTAATCTTTAGGGCTCAAACTTTTTATTTTAACGATACATTTGTAATTCTTATGGCTCAATTACACTTGGTCTTTAGCCCGAATACATTTGACAATAGAATTCGGGTAAAACACACAGCGTAAATGAACGGAGTCGAGTACGCCGAGTATTCGGGTAGTTATCGTTTTGGTTACCCGAGACCGGCTTGCAGCCCGTATTCCAGTGTAACTCTTGTTAATATGAATACGGCCAAACGACCAAGAAGTATAATCGAGCCATTAGATGGATACAATCTAAGGCCCGTATTACAGAATGACAACTTAGTGTTGATCTTTACTCGAGTACAGTTAGAAAGGGATGTCGCTATGTGCTATATATAACGACATCCCTTTCTAACTATAGAATAGAATAGAATAGAATAGAGTTTTATTCATAAAAATGTTACAGTATACCTTGGTTGGCAATAAACATAAATAAACTTCTAAAGCTATTTTTAACTAGTACCATAGTTTTCTAAGATAGCTTAAGTCTAAATCAAAAGAAAAGAAAACTAAATTAAAAAAAAACATCTTTCTGTGTGGGTTTCCCCAGATTCAAACACACAGCAATTAAGTGTCCAATAAAATAATAATAAAAAGTTATAGTTAAAATA